GCGTCCCGCCGCCCCGCGACTCCCACTGGCCCGCCGCGGCCCACGTCAGGCCCGCGAGGCCCGTTCCCCGGCCGCCGCCGCCCGGTTCCTTCTCTCCCGCGCTGCCCCTTGGCTTCAGGAGCGCGCCAGCCACCGCGCGCCTCCGCCCTACTCCGGCCGCCGCCTTCAACCGGCCGCCACCCCGCAACTCTCCTCGCGCCGTTGCTCCGGCCGCCACCACCCGCGCTCCTCGCCGCCGCCTGGGCGCACCGGCAACCGCGCCCGCTCGCCGGACTTCGCCGGCCGGGTCGCCGGCGCCGCCCCGCACCGCCACCGCCATCTGCGCCGCCCTCCGCCGTCGGCCGTCGCCGGCCTCCTCAGCCCCGAGCCAGATCCGATCCGGGAGTGGGATCAGATCCACCCACTCCCCCATCCAAATGCGTCGTCCCGGAACCGCCTCGTCCCGCGTTGACTTTTTCCGCGGGGTAAATTTCTTCTAAGTCCCCAATTTTCCAGATCCATGTGCCCATCTTCTTCGCATTGTAACTTTGCATCCATAGATCCGATTCATGCATATAGCATATCAAAATGATCATCTCAGAGAGTACATCATTTCATTACATTGCATCATTTTCATTTGAGTTCATCTTGATGCCCGAAATGCTGTTAGAAGAGGGCTACTTGAGTTAATTGTCAGATCTGCTACTCCATTTAGGTTTTTGTCATTTTTGCCATGATTAATGTGTGCATGATATGCCCTGATGCTCTACATATGTTTTGTTAAGGGTTTTTCCATCTTTCTAGAGGTGCAACCCATGTATTTTTGTGATGTGTGTGGTGACTAGCACGAGCTTGCCAGGTGGTGCACTTGGTAATTCTATTTTCAGGGGCTTAGCATTTCCACTAAGTCCTTGATCTGTTTATCTCATGATGCCATATGTTCATGTTGTTTCCTAGTGATCCGTGCCTCTTTTGAGGATGATCAGTAAGGATGTTTTATTAATCTTATAGTGCTCTATCCATCCATGTCTTTGTTTGCAATTATGGAGCACCCTAGCTTGAGTCAATCGAGCTCTACTTTTGCTACTTCGTGAATCTGGGCAGATTGTCAACTTGTTTGCAATTTTGCCGATGATGTTGTAGTTGATCCGTGCATGCCATGTTATTGTTCTTGCCATGTCTAGCTTGAATTTTGTGTATTCTTGATGGGTGTATGCTTAGTTTGCCATGGCTTGCACCGTAGTGAGTGCATCGAGCTCGTAAACATGCCTACTTGAGATATGTTTTAGCACGCTCCAGTTTTCACCAAGTCTGAAAATTGATTATGTTTTTGCCATGTTCACATGCTTGCAATTGTACTTTCTGATCCCTTTTGGCTCAAGGTCACTAAGGGACTTTTTTTAAGCTCTTTGAGTAGCTCCATGCCATGCTTTACTTTGCCATGTTCAGGTCCTGTAGCATGTAGTTTTGTTGCTCCGAAGTGTGCTACCTGATCTGAAATTCCAGACAAGTGTTAATTTCACTAAGTCTGAGATCTGTTTGCCATATGCATTTTTGCCATGCTTGCTTGAACCTGTTAATGGATGATTTGGCCGTAGCTCAGTGCTAGACTTTTGTTAAGCTTCGGGAATGGACCCCTGCCATGTATTTTGGTGCCATGTTTGGATGTTGTAGCATGTTCATCTCATTGCATTTAGATGCCTACTTGTTGTAAATCGCAGACCGGTGTCATTTTTGAATTGCTTACCATTTCCAAACCGCAACTCCGATTCCGGCGATCTTTATATCGTTTTCAAGCGATTTCATCTCATCTTTCCAGTGGCACACTTGGATTTCCATGTTGAGGCCAGGTTCATGCATTCCTTGTCAATTCTTGCATATGCATCGCATCCCGCATATCATACCATGTTCATGTGTTGGTTGTTTACTATGTTGTGTGCTCCTTTCCGGTGTTGCTTCTTCAGGTTGGGTCCGTTAACGTCGCATTTGTGAGGACCCGTTCGACTACATCCGTTTGTCTTCTTCATGGACTCGTTCTTCTTCCCTGTGGGATTTCAGGCAAGATGACCATACCCTCGAAATCACTTCTATCTTTGCTTGCTAGATGCTCGCTCTTTTGCTATGCCTATGCCGCGATACTTACCACTTGCTTATCATGCCTCCTACTTTGTTGAACCAAGCCTCTAACCCACCTTGTCCTAGCAAACCGTTGATTGGATATGTTACCGCTTTGCTCAGCCCCTCTTATAGCGTTGTTAGTTGCAGGTGAAGATTGAAGTTTGTTCCTTGTTGGAACTTGGAGATCGTTCCTTGTTGGAACATTTATTTACTTGTTGGGATATCACAATATATCTTATTTAATTAATGCATCTATATACTTGGTAAAGGGTGGAAGGCTCGGCCTTATGCCTGGTGTTTTGTTCCACTCTTGCCGCCCTAGTTTCTGTCATATCGGTGTTATGTTCCCGGATTTTGCGTTCCTTACGCGGTTGGGTAATAATGGGAACCCCTTGACAGTTCGCCTTAAGTAAAGCTCCTCCAGCAATGCCCAACCTTGGTTTTACCATTTGCCTTACCACCACCTACTTTTCCCTTGGGAGTCGCTCTCTCGAGGGTCATCTTTATTTTAACCCCCCCGGGCCAGTGCTTGTCTAAGTGTTGGTCCGAAATGGGCAGCCTGCGGGGCCACCTCGGGGAAACTTGAGGGCTGTTTTTACTCGTAGCTTGACCTATCCGGTGTTGCCCTGAGAACGAGATATGTGCAGCTCCCATCAGGATGTCGGCGCATCGGGCGGTGTTGCTAGTTTAGTTTTACCCTGTCGAAATGTCTTGTTGTACCGGGATACCGAGTCTGATCGGAATGTCTCGGGAGGAGGTCTATTCCTTCGTTGACCGTGAGAGCTTGTGATGGGCTAAGTTGGGACACCCCTGCAGGGATTGAACTTTCGAAAGTCGTGCCCGCGGTTATGGGCAGATGGGAATTTGTTAATGTCCGGTTGTATAAAACCTAAACCTTAACTTAATTAAAATGAGTCAACCGCGTGTGTAACCGTGATGGTCTCTTTCCGTCGGAGTCCGGGAAGTGAACACGGTGTTGGAGTTATGCTTGACGTAGGTTGTTTTAGGATCAGTTCTTGATCATACTTTTATCGACCGTGCTTTGCCTTCTCTTCTCGCTCTCATTTGCGTATGTTAGCCACCATATGTGCTAGTCGCTTGCTGCAGCTCCACCTCATACCTTTACCTTACCCATAAGCTTAAATAGTCTTGATCGCGAGGGTGCGAGATTGCTGAGTCCTCGTGGCTCACAGATACTTCCAAAACCAGCTTGCAGGTGCCGATGATTCCGTGCGGATGACGCAACCAAGCTCAGGAGGAGCTCGATGAAGATCTTGTCCTTTGTGTTGTTTCGTTCTAGTTGATCAGTAGTGGAGCCCAGTTGGGGTCGATCGGGGACCATTGTCGCATTTGGAGTTCTTCTTTTATTTTGGTTCCGTAGTCGGACCTTGAGTGTATTTGGATGATGTAATGCTTTATTCATGTAATTGTGTGAAGTGACGATTGTAAGCCAACTATGTATCTTTCCCTTATGTATTACATGGGTTGTGTGAAGATTACCTCACTTGCGACATTGCTTTCAATGCGGTTATGCCTCTAAGTCGTGCTTCGACACGTGGGAGATATAGCTGCATCGAGGGCGTTACAGGTGTTTGGAAAAGTAGATACGTTGGAGACATATCAACTCCCCCAAGTTTAAACCTTTGCTTGTCCTCAAGCAATTTAATTGGTAAACTGAAAGTGATAAAGAAAAACTTTTACAAACTCAGTTTACTTTCGTTGTTGTAAATATATAAAGCCACCATTCAAGTTTTCAACAAAGATTATGAACTAACACTATTGAAATTAAAAAATTTGCCGTCAACCAGTTCTTTGCCGTCTGCTAGCTGACGGCAAAGAAGGTCTTTGCCATCGGCTTACAGAAAAGCTGATAGCAAAGAAAATAACCTAACGTATCCCCCAGCACACACCCACCCATGACCCACACAGCCCCGGGCCCCACCCACGATGCACACACGCCCAACCCACACGCACACACACGCACGTTGGATACCATCTCTCTCATCTTCCTCGATCCCCTTTCTCCACCCCACGCTGCCGCCAGATTTTGGCGATCCTCGCCGTTCCCCACCGCCCAGCTCTCCTTCTCGAGGTCACCTCTCCCAGCTCACCATCTCCACCGACCGGTTTCTCTCCTCGCCCAGGAGAGTCCCACCTCCTCACCACCAAGGCCGCCGCCGCCCGCCGCCTCCTCCTCGAGCGCCGTGCCGCAGACCTCGCCTCCCACGCCCTCGCCGCCCGCGCTGACATCGACGCCACCCACGCGCGCCGCCTCGCTGTCGCCCGCGACATCAGCTCGACCAACGGCGAGATCGAGGACGCGCAGCGAAAGGCGGAGGAGTGGGACCGCTTCTACGAGTCCAAGAGGAAGGAGATGGAGGAGTTCCGGCCGTCGTCTCCACAGCCTCCATCCACCCCGGCCGCAGCCACTTGTCAACCCCACGAGCAGCCTCCTGGCCTAGTTCCTCGTCACCGTCCTCCTCCCGGTCCCTGTCCACCTCCGCCTCCACCTGGTGGTCCCAGAGGCGACGACTCCCCGTCGCCTTGGCCGCCGTAGAGCTCCGCGAGGCCGCTGCGGGTGGTGGAGACTCCGTCCGCGTCATCGAGACGCCACAACCCAACAAGTGTTAGCCCCAACTTTGCTCAATTAACTGCCTCTCTGGTTGTATATGAGTTGGAGAGTCGCGTAATTCTGTAATGTGGGATGTTGTCTCAGTTTTTGTGCGATGAGTAGACTAGATTAGGGGATAAGCTGATGAATTGATGCTTGATTCTGATGGTCATGGTGTGCTTATTTGCAGGTTAAGTTCAGCGTGGAGGCAGCCCTGCAGGAGCTGCAGAGCAGCAGGTTGCACTCGGACGACGCCGGGATCGGGGCTGCGGAAGCCAGGAAGGTCGACCTCATGGCTAAGAAGGCCAAGCTGGACGAGACCCTGGCTGCAGCCCGCCAGTTCAGAGCACTGCTTCGGCAGCAGCTCCAGAAAGCCTTCGCGTCACAGGTTAGGGATCAAAAGGCAGCACAAAACTGACTAGTTATATGGTACAAGCAAAATGACATTCATTAGCTAGCTCCTCAATCGCTTCGTATTAAGTATGCAATGCAAGTCTGGCGGGCTACCAGTTACTAACATAGTAGTACAAATGTAGTGTTACTTTTAGGCAAATGTTGAGCAAATTTTGAACTAATGGATGAGTTTCGTGGGACGAAGCGGGCTTCCACTTGCACTCCTCCTACTGATGAAACGAACTTCAAATGTCTCTACATGCAGATACATGCTTTTTTATTTCAGTCTTGTTTAGAGGAGGCCCCGGTGGCGTCGAGCTGCTGTTGCTGTGGGCATAGCGACGTCGGCGTGGTCAGGATGGTCGCAGCCTTTCAAGATTCTCAACGGTGGTGTCTCGGCGCTGATGGCGGAGTCGACAACGAGCATCGGCGGGTACAGGTTCAGATCATCCATGATTGGTAGTTATTGGTCATATTTAGTTGCATTTTGGTCAGTCTGGTTGTGGCTATGGAGCACTTCTTTTGGTCATGTGCTAGATCTGTCATGTAGGAGTATTTGGCAATGGATATATGCTCATACAGAATTTTGATAATCAACTAGGAATTACAATTAGAATCAAAGCACTGCTACTTGTACTCCTTTCATGAAAAAAGGCTACTCGTAGGACCCTTGTAGGAGACCATCCTCAAGATCGACGAGAAGATGAGGTCTGGACCCTTGTAGGAGACCATCCTCAAGCAGCTCTAGATGTAAGTTGACTGCTTCAAACCCAATCCGTGCTTGCTCCTCTTAATCAACTAGATTATATTAATTAATACTAGCTACTGAACTTCTTGGATTATGTTACCAATTTTTATGATGGGCGTCCAGCTATTATATTAGTAATTCGATTTTGGTAGTACCGTTGAATTTGGTTGCTGCTATTCATTTACCTATGTGAAGGAGTTGGATAATGTGCTCTTTTTTGTTTGCAAAATGAAGGACGCTGCATCCAGGTAGTGGGAATAATTAGTCCTTGCTATCAATAGTAGTAGCATTATTCACTGTTGAGTGTGAGGGAATTTGATGATCATCTACTTTTGCCTATCATCCACTTCTGATGTTTTCCATGAAAGTGACACGTGATTTTCCTTTGCTTTTCTTTAGCTGATAGTATGATAACTACTTGCTTGGCAGAAGTTATGGTTGTGCTATTTCTTAGGTAAATAAAGAAACTAAGATTTAGTTTGATTTGGAGCGCCTCTTGTTGTACCACGGTTCCTTCTCTTAGAGATGTACTTGTACAGCATGTTTTGGATTGGGAGGGGATAATGCTCTTCCTTTGGTCTCTGTCGAAGTCAAACCCATCCATGCAAAATCTGTACTGTAGTACAATTAATGTAGATGAACATATATGCCTTGCAGTTTTATCGTGCATGCCATTCAACTAACTTGCTTTTGTCCATGCAGATGGAGTAGGAGGACGAGCAGTAGCAGCAAATCATCCTGATGATGACGGGGTGCGGAAGGCAATGGTGATCATGCTGATGGCATGAAGAAGGCTGGTGACAACAACCTAGACCTGTTGGCATTTAGAGATGGCAAACAAAGGTGGCAGACAACAACCTGGACCACCCACCTCCCTTGCCTTTAGTTATAAGGCGTCTCATGAAAATTATGAAAATTGTAGATAGTTGCTCCTTGATTGATTGTATTTCTTTGTTGCAATCCATGATAAATTCACCCCATTCTTATGAACAAAATAAAGCTTTTACTAAACATATTGTTGATGCTATGATGAAAGCTTTTGAAGAAAAGTTGAAATTAGAAGTTTCAATTTCTAGAAAATTGCATGATGAATGGGAATCTACTATCAAAGTCAAGATTAAAAATTATGAGTGTTTTGCTTTATGTTATTTGGGTGCTAGTGTTTCTACTATTCTTAAATCTTTATGTGATGTGCTTGGTCTTACCGCCATTGAATCATGTTCTTTGAATTTGCACTTGGCGGATTCTACTATTAAAAAGCCTATGAGAGAAATTAGATGTTCTTATTTTTGCAAATAGGAATTATGTGCTCATAGATTTTATTGTTCTTGATATTGATTGGAATCCGTCTTGTCCAATAATTCTTGTTAGACCGTTTTTATGCACTATTGGTGCGGTGATTGATATGAAAGAAGGCAATATTAAGTTCCAATTTCCTTTGACGAAGGGTATGGAACACTTCACTAGAACAAGAATTAGCCCACCATATGAATCAATCATGAGGGCATCCTATGGATCTCGAAACAAAGATGACAAAACTTAGATCCTTACTTTATGCCTAGCTAAGGGCGTAAAACTATAGCGCTTGTTGGGAGGCAACCCAATGAATAGAATTTATTTTTGACTTTTCTTCCTATTCTTGAGTGTTAGCACAATTATGCTCCTTTTATGATTGTGTTTTTTGTGTTTTAATTAGTGTTTGTGCCAAATAAGCCTTTAGGATCTTCTTGGGTGCTACTTGTTTGATCTTACTGAAAAAACAAAAACTTTTGCGCTCGCCAAAACAATTCTCATTTTTAACCAGAGAGCGATAAAATACCCATTCCTTTTGCAGTAGATCAATATACAAATTTTCCAGATCGTCCTAATTTTTTAGAATTTTTTGAGTTACAGAAGTATTTGACCGATTCTGTTTTCTTTGCGTTGTGTGCTTATTTTGATGGCTCTATGATTTTCTTTGATGAGTTTTTGCCATAGAAAAGTTGGAATACAATAGATATAATGCAAGAACAAAATATGAATTGGTTTGATACAGTACCTATAATAGTGATTTATTTTCTTATACTAACGGATCTCACGAAGGTTTTGTTGAGTTTTGTGTGATTGAATTTTTCAAGTTTTGGGTGATCTTACGATGGATGAAGGAATAAGTAGTAAGAAGAGCCTAAGCTTCGGGATGCCCCGGCATCCCAAGATATTATCCAAAAGAGAGCGAGCAACTAAGCTTGGGGATGACCCCGAGTGGCATCCCCTCTTTCTTCTAACGACCATCGGTATTTTACTCGAAGCTATATTTTGATTCGTCACATACTATGTGTTTTTCTTGGAGTGTCTTGTATGATATGAGTCTTTGCTTGTTTTATTTTTTGTTTTAAGTCTCGATTCCTTGCTGGACACACCTATTTGAGAGAGCCAAAATTATGTCATGACTTGTTAGAATTGCTCTCTATGCTTCACTTAAATTTTTTTATGAGCTATGGACTTGCTCTAGTGCTTCACTTATATCTTTTTGAGCACGGTGTGCTTTAGTATTTTTGAAGAAATGCTCTCTTGCTTCACTTAGATTTATTTGAGAGTTAGTAAAATTTTCAAGAAATTCTCTCTTGCTTCACTTAAATTATTTTGAGAGAAAGAAAAATTATACTCATGATCTTGACTTATATTTGTTTGAGCTTATCAAAAGCAACATATTAAAATTAGTTCCAAAGTGATCAGCAGATACTTGCAAAGATCAAATCAAGCAGAAGAAACAAGGAAGTTAACTCAGCGCCATCGGCCACCTTAACACGAACAACTTGGGACAGAGGTGTAATGCCTGACAGAGAATTAGCAATAGAATGCATTTTGCATGCATTTTTCATCGAGTGAAACTACTTGAATAAACTGGAAGTTTTAAACCAAGTAGTCTTGAAATCGCTACCCCCTGGGATGGAAAAAGAGGCTCGGGTTTTAGCCCTCCGTTTTACCCCGGAAGTCGTTGTTCGTCTTTCGATATGAGAGGATGGCAAGTGTCCGCAATGACTTAGCGACTTAGCCAATTGGTTACAGATTCTAGACTGATCGATCGGATCACATCATCTCGAGCAAAGAGATGAGAGCAAAGAAGCGACATCGCTTCGACACTCCTTCCTCTTTTCATTATGAAACCAATATCAAGCAAGATATGAAGAAGAGGGCGGCTCCCTGGATTGAACACATAAAGTAGTGCCAAGATCGCCTCTATGCGAGAGAGAAGTTCTCAGAAATGATGGAGCTGTTGGTTTCGGTCATTGTACGCTTGGTTGCTAAACCGCACCCTTTACGGCGTCTGTAGGAAGAATTCATTCTGGTCCCAAAACTTATAAGAGATCTCGGTAGTGAATATGCAATGCTGAATTCCAATAAGTTGGTACTTCACACAAGGAATAAGCTCATGTTAAAGATAGTTTCATCCAGACCGAACCCTACCTTAGCGTCTCATCCCCACCCACCAAGTCTTTATCTGTGGTGAAAGGAGTGGTTTAATTCGATGCAAGGTGCAAACGAGTTTTTCCAAAGATAGAGTCCTTTCAGAAATACATGTGCCAGAAGAAAGCAGATTCTTTTTCTAAAATAAAATGAATCTGCTTTCCGATGGCCATTTCGGTCCGTTGTGGGACCATGGTTTGCAAAGAAGGTAGTTAGCACAAAGAACTTCTTCCGTTTTTGGGGATTCCACTAATTGATAGAAGGAAGTGGATGCGGCAGGATTGGCCCCAATTGAATCACTAGTAGAAGAGATCCACGTGCAGAGACTGTTAGGGAGATGCAGATGGAGGGACGTTTGGATTGCTGCTAGAAGGGCTTATGACGAATAGATTGTTGGAATGGGATGTAAATTGGTATACAAGATTCAAAAGAAAGCGGATAGTTCTATTGAAGAAGAAATCAATATCCAAATTGGAAGAGAAAAGGTTCTGTAACCTACATATACCATATGGGAACACATTACACCACAAGGAGAATACCACTTCAGGTACATGTATGCATCCACTTCATCGGATGATCCAACGCAAAAAAGTATGATATTTCTATTCTCTAGCGCTCGTCATATAGAAAAGGTATCTAGCTCGTCCCTCTAGCGCTCGTAAAAGAAATCCTTCTTGTCCGAGAAGGCAACAACCATTTCATTTCTTTAACTTGGATTGCATTATTTAATTGATTTACTACATCATGTACTACGTATTGGTTCGCAAATGCGTTGCTTGAAGGAAGGAAGCAACTTTAGAGGAGGGATGCCGTCAAAGAGGTATGCTGGATTTTTTATATGCTAAAGATACCGGTTCAATATGTCATTTTCGAAATCGAGGACCACACCACTGGGAGGACAACTCAAGCACCAAAGACAAAGGTATCACTCGTAAAAGTGATTTTCATCGTAGTACTTGCTCTTGTGTTAGGTGAAATCCAGCGTTAGGTAGGATAGGCAGGTATTCTAGGGATATCCTCATCCGCTGCCCACGTAGGGTTCATATCTGTCCAAGGACAATGGTATAAGGTTCACATCTTCCCAAAGCCGAAGAACTTCTTTGAACTACAGCCAAGGCAAATCTCTAGTATTGGTATCAGGGCCGGTGTCTAGGGATAGGATCCATCAAAAGGAAAGGCGAGAAGCCCTGGCTTTGATGACATCCCGACCTGTAGAAAAAGGATCAAGCAGAAGGAAGATCTGCTAAAGATTTTGATGCCTCAGTCCTTGCAAAACAGAGTCCTAAAAAAGGAAGTGGGTTCGGCTCTTATCTTAAGTGGGATGTTTGGCCATTGGTTTTAGCACTGACCGTAAGTCTGAATCTGATGAAACTTAAGTGGATATAATAAAAACTTTCATGAAGATCATTGGACAAAATAAACTTGATTCTTAGTTTTTTTTTGAGATATGATGATGTGATATGTGAATTATGTTGATGAGTAATTATGATTTAGTAAGAATATTGGTGTTAAGGTTTGTGATTCCCTATGCAAGCATGAAATTCAATAATTGAGCAATGAAATTATATTCTACTTGTGGTGCATTATTCGGTGTTAATTATGCTTAATGCTCGCTTATGAGATTATTCATTTCTTGGTTGGTTGCTTCCCAATCTTTTGCTAGCCTTCATTTTGCACTAAGTAGGATCACTACTTGTGCATCCAAACACCTTTAAACCAGTTTTGCCACATGAGTCGACTATATCTACCTATATGCGGTATTCTTTTGCCGTTCTAAGCAAATTTGTATGTGCCATCTCTAATTTTCAAAATAAACTTCTCTTTTGTGTGTTCGTTTCGCTCGTGGAGCGGTGAGGGGTGGCTAATATTTTCCATGCTAGATGTGTTATTCTCACGATGAGTGTTTATTCACTTGTCATTGCACGAGAATAAGGCAAAGGTATTAGGGATGCCCAGACCCGAAATGAAAAATGATTACTTTATGTTGTGAAATAATAAATTCCTTGGAAAGTGTTGGTATGGAGGGCAACCGTGGATACGGCTAGCCATGGAAAGTGAAAGTATGGTTGAAAAAGGAATAAACTTTATTTTCTGTTTGGGAACCGCCTATGATATATCTAGCATGGAAAGTGTTGGGAACTCTAAGTCATTTTCATTGATGGGATGGATACACCTCCCAAAATGTTTTTTATCTCTAAGTTTTTCGCTTTGAGCTCTCGCACCTCTACAAATCCCTACTTCCCTTTGCGGAGGGTCTTTCTTTTACTTTATGAAATTTTTATTTTTGAATTTGAGTCTCCATCTTCTCTTATAAAATCACCAACTAGGAGGCACTATGATTGTACTTGAGCATTGGGTGTAGTTAATATGCGAGTGTGTTTCATGAATGGATCAATGATTGAGCATGATGGGCTAGGGATAGCTTATTTTAGCATTGATATCTTGAAAGACATGGTTCCTTGTTGATATGCTTGAGTATTTAAGTTATCATGTCAAAACTAGACTATTGCTTTGAACAATATAAAAGTTCAAATGTCCATGATATAAAGAAAAGAAATATGATATCACATGATAGGCAGCATTCCACATATTTTTTTTGTTTTTTATCACTGTAACATCCCAAAATTCTAAATTTTGGAATGTTATATTAAATAAATTATTATGATTGTTTGTTTGATTGTTGTGTGATTGATTGTGTGAAAATGATTGGAAATTGAAAAGTTTCTGAAAGTTGAATGAGAGGGAATAAAAGGACTTTCCCAAAACTTTTCACCTTGCATTTTGATCTCCCCGAGTTCAAATTCATTTCATTACAAAACCCTAGAGTGAAGATAATATGACTTCTTCCATTTAAAGAAATGAAAAAAGGGTTTGAAAATGATTTGAATTCCATTTGAAGTATTTCAACTCAGAAACTTTATGCCACTCAAGGATTTTCATGAGAGAAGATAATAGGACTTCTTCAAAATATATGAAATAGAGTGGGGAGGGATGAGGACCACATTTGAAATTTATTTGAATCACTTTAGGAAAAAAATGATTTCCATTTGGAGTTTCAAGATTATTTCTATAAAATAAAGAGATGGGATAAAATGA